TTGGCTTGTCACTATCCTTACCCCCATGTGAGTGAACAAAAAACTGTTAGAGGAGCGATGTGCAATATGGATACAAACTGGCACGGGAGCTTATTATGTTATAATTATATTTATTACAAAACATACCGATTCCTTATGATTTCAAGGTTATGGGCGAGCTTCTCGTAGGGCAAACAGAAGTCCTTGTCATATCTGCTTAGTGGAGCACTTGCCTAGAAATTATAATCTCAAAATTTGAGGTTTCGCTCTTCACTACCTTAATTTTGGACGTCATTGCTTTAGGTCAGAGTTTCTTAGCAAACAAGCATATGTAAGCCATTTTGATACATTGTGTCTCCCAAAAGGTTTTCAAAGTGGAATATTTGCACCAGTAAATTGTAGAGAATCATTGATAATTTTTCAGAGGCAAAATTAATTGTGTACAATAACAGGTAAAAATTCTAGTTGGTTTTTTCAAGAAGATATTCTGAAAAAAATAAAGACGGTCTATCAGATTTTTGAAGTAAGGAAAGGTGTGTTTTTGTCGCAGTGCGAAAAAAGTAGATAAAAATTTCTAGGTTTGAAATTCAAAGAACGCTCATGGAATCATCATAAAATTATCTAAGTGGAGTGAACATTTTTTCAGATATCCAATCCTCGCTTATGTCTACTAGCTGGTGAGATCCGAATTTTGGGTAAGGTAAAGAGACTGGTGAACAAATAACAAAACGTTAACAAGATTGAGGCTGAAAAAAACCCATTAAATCAGCCACTTTTTGACATTAGCGTTGTAACCTGCCTTTTCAAAAGATGAAGAGAAAGTGATTAGATGCTGATACTAGAACGTTGTAAGAAAAGATATTTATTATCCGTATTGTTGGAACCATAGTGACCTGCGGGCAAATATAATTAGATCGAGCAATTGGCGGTAACGGGAATTTTAGCTTCACTAAGAAATTAGGATTTTAAGAGATAATGTGGCATGACGAACTCTCACCAGGATTCTCGGTGAAGCATGAAGAAGTCGGAGCTGTGTTGTAGCTCTTGAACGGGTTAATTTGAGGACGTACATATTCCTTGCGTGGATGTGGCGGGAAAGATGAACTTCTAACAAAAAAATTCAAAGTATTGCACAACATGTGAAGCCAATAAAAGTAAAAACACTGATACATCAATTTTTTCAAAGTATCGTAAAACTACATTATTTAAGGATTTATAAGATATGTAGAGTTGCAAAGTAAGACTACCAAGTCCACCTTGCTGATATTTCAGCAGAAAAACAGTGAACTATGCTCACTCTTTTGCTAAGCGATCGTAAACAGATCGATGTTATGTCGAAGCATTGGACGAGCGCCCCAGTTTTCCCTTTGGATCTTTGAACAAGGTGAAGCGTCCAGTTGAAAACTGAAGAACTAGTTCTAAGTAGTTAGCTCAACTTCTCCACGACAGCTGGAGCTTACGCGTTGATTTATGAATTCTCTATTTCTTAAGGAGCTTTTTTCCTTTCGTAAAAACGGTTTATCAAAAATTTTTATGTAGATCCATGTTCTCCAAAAGGTCTGAGCCCATTTAGATCTCCCAATCTTTCTAAATTTTGAGTTTATTTGAGTTTTTTATGCTTCAACTTCATGGGTATACCTTTCGGGTCTTTCCTGATAAGTAAGGGATACTATCAGAAATCAAGCTGCTAAGATCTGATTATCACTGGTATTTGAAGGCCACACGGACCTTTTGAGGAATCAGCAGTGATTTCCCTTGAGCCTATAAGTTTATGTTGTGCTTATTATGCTATTTATACTGTATCACAGATTATTGCTTGTTAGATGAGTAGCTTTCCTAATTAAACAAGACTGTAATTGTGTAAGATGGTACAAGATGTACAAAGAGGAGATTTCCCTTCCAAATTCTGTATTTTTGTTCTTATTCCTGCAGCCAACAACTAGCATTCTTATGATGGAAAAGGATATTGGTTTGTCAAATTGTACTGTGAATTGATGTCTCTTCCTTCAGTTTCCGAATTTTTTAAAATATCAGAATATAATTACTTTGCATCCCCTATTTAGTTCTGTTCTTCTTAAAAATATTTAAAAACTTGTATTGCTGGATCAATTCTATGTGAGCAAACTCCTCTACTCTGATATCACAAATTCAGATGCAATCGCCGTCATACCATTTCTGCACCTGCACAGCAAGTTAAGTTTTTAGGGGCAATTACAACCAGAGAACAGAGGACCGTTTGCCGCCAGTAGGCATCTCTCAGACTGGATCCTTTTCATGTAAATTATGGGTAATAGAAAAAATGGAGGTCAGAGAGCAGAACTTCAGAATACCTTAACAGAACAAAAATCCTCAGAAAATTCTAGTCTTGTGAAAAACATAGGGAACAGTTGTTGACGAGTTGATGGTGGTAAATAATCCATTGAGACGAGAGCTTGTCAGCGACTTAAAAAAAGTGCCGATAAAAGTTTTGGTTATCTTGCACCGTTGAGTTGCATTCTCCGATCAAAATTTGTAGAAGTCTGGCATTACTATGCCATCGATGAGTTGCCATGGTTTTCTCTTCTATATCAGGATAGCACTTAACTTACTCGAAGATATTTTCAGAAGATATTTCTAGGTAAGCATCTTCAAATGATGTGGGATCTAAGTATTCGAGATATTTGAACATTTCTTGATTTGTTGTAGTAATTGTACATAAATGCTAGAAATGCATTAAATAGATAAGGCAAATTCCTTATAGGATATTCCCTACCTGAAATTCCTGCCCAACTAAGCTTATCATGTTTGCATATACTCTCAGCGCTCGTCGACGAAGAGGTGGACCCATCTTACGTGAGGACATTGGCCGACTGCTACAAGAACTGCTCTACAACGGGCTTTTCCATCGTCCTCTTAACATACCAATTCGCAGGGAGTTCGACAAAGCGACACCGTGTCGCCAAAGGTGTTTACCGCCGCGTTGCAGTGGGTGATGAAATCACTGGATTGGAACAAGAGAGGTGAGTTGGGGAGATTCCTCTCGAACCTTCGTTTTGCGGACGACATTATTCTCTTTTCGAAGATCACTGAAGCGGAGACGATATTGCGAAAATTACACGAAGTAAGGAAGT